GATTGCTCGATATGCACCAGGGCTATGTCCAGTACCTGGACCCGTACCTCGATATTACCATGTACCTGGACCAGTACCTGGACCAGTACCTCGATATTACCATGTACCTGGACCAGTACCTGGACCAGTACCTCGATATTACCATGTACCTGGACCAGTACCTGTACCAGTACCTCGATTTTCAAGCAATCCTGGTCCAGGTACTGGACATAGCTGGATTTACCATGGAGTGGGATATGGCCAGACCTGGAGGCCACTAACACGCCGCATTATTCCCCACCAGATGGGGTAGAGGGCAGCCTCCCTAGGTAGTAGGAACCGGTTCGCCGCGCTAACACCCTCAGCCAAAAGTCGTTTGGATTGCAATTCTACGCAAGTAACACAACATAGTAACAACTGTAACATACCTTTTTTCTGGGTCTTTTTTTTTTTTTTTTTTTTTTTTTTTTTTTTTTTGGTCATGCCCGGCCGGGCACCCGGGCATGTAACTGGGCACAAATTGAGTGCCCGGCCGCCCAGAAAAACACCATAGGGCTTTTTTCCATTTTTTAGCAGCAATCAACAAGATACAGCAGCATGTCCCCCACATCCGTAGGATTTCATTTTCTTTCTACTGAAGGAGATGACAGACAAAAATCGCCAGAGTTGGGACAACGTTTTTTGCCCCCTTCCTGGGACTCCAGCACTGGATTAACTGGCACGTGCCAGAAGGGAAGCTACTAGCTAGCCAGGGTAGTGATGGTTTTAACTTTTAGGCATGTGTGCCTTGAACAGCCAGCACAACCCCTTTTCCAACCAGATGCCAAGCGATCGTAATTTACTTTTTTCTCCAAGTGAATGACGTGAAGTTCATGAAATGGTTGTGACCACTTTTACTGAATAGCAGACCGCCCATTCGCTGTGAATCCGAGTGACGCAAAAGGCTGACGACGTTGTGTGTGTTTTATATGTTAAGTCTGTTCGGGTCGACTAGCGCGTGTCTGTTTATCCGTGTGCTGTCGCCTTTGCTATACACAAATCCACACACACACACAAAAAAAAAAAGCACAACTGTGCAATACTGTTTCTCAGACTTTCACCGACTCATCAGGGGGTTGCACCCCAACAGTCTGCCCAGGACGCATTTGACCGATGAAAAAGAACTCACCATGTCACCAGCAGTTACATTACTCGTCCTCGGAAGCCGGTCGACCGTACTCACACCAACCGTGCAACCCTGCAATCCGCGCAGAGTGTCTACCCTTACGCACAGAGAACGAACACACCTGTACATCCTGTAGTAATTGGATCATCAATCCAAAAGACTAATTGAAAGAGGGTGGGGCTCTGAAAGCGGTAATCGGGACTCTACCTAAGTTCATCAACTTGATCACCCATTTCAACGGAAATCCCGGCTAAAGGATTCCCACCTATCATTTCCACCCCAATCCTCACACTAATCGCCCTGTGGAAAAATGAGAAGTTTGCCACATCCGTTTCGACAGAAGTGCTGGCTTCAAGACTTCCACCTATCATTTCACCTACCTATCATTTCACCTTTACCTATCTTCACATCAATTGCGAAGTGAAAATGAGAAACATCCGTCCCAGCACCAATCTCATCAAGGTCGACGGGCAGTGATACCCACCGACCCTTGCTCCTGACGCAGAGGGCCCAAGCACCTGCTCAGTCCTGGACCCCCTCAAGGGCCTCAACCCTTCTCATCTTTTCTACCTCTGTTAATGCTTTTCGACATCCTCGTCTGAACTTGCTTGCCGGTGATAAGCTACCGGACCGTTGCCCCCCATAATAGAAAAGGGGCTCGTCGCTCCTGGAAAAAGGTACGCACGTATGATTAAGGCCTGGTTGATAGCACAGACATTATGACCGGTGGTTTCTCCAACCACGCTATAACTCTGGCGAGCCTCGAGTTATATCGCCTTTACTGGCCAACATTGCGTTGCACGGAATGGAGAATGCTTCGAATGAGTGGGCTTGGCAACAGGCAGCCGAAGGCCAAGTTATCCTTTTGTAAGATACGCCGGCGATTTCGTTGTTCTCATGTGTGAGTGGGCAAAAAAAGGAAGGAAAATAAAAACAAAGAAAATGAGACGCGTCAGTTGGAGAGTGAAACCCACCTTCGTTCTGTCCCTTAGCTTTGCCCCATATCTCCTGGCAAGGTGTTGGAACATCGCTACCGCCTTTGTGGCATGAATAACACCTGTAGCAGGCATAACGATGCATGCGTGCACACACATACGCACATCAAATCCAGCTCCATTGTCAGTATCACATGAGAGAGGTCCTTGTGTGGGTGGTCCTTGTGTGGGTGGGAATATACCACCTTGTAAGTTATTACTTGTTTATAGACTGTAGACTCAGTGTCGAGTCATATCAATCGCTAGACACATCACCCATATAGGTCTATGAAATTTGGTGACAACCAAAATGCCTCTGAATGCGCAGATGGGCAGGTACACACTCTGGAGCCGAATGCGAAGCCACGATAACAGTTCCAGTGAAAAATTCGCGGAAAATAACAGCCCTGTTAACAATGCGAGCAGGGGTATTCTGGTTCCGCAAACTTTGCGAGAACGTATCTCTGTATGTATCTGGATGTCGGAGTGGTCGGATACATTCTGATAGGGGCATTCTGACTCCTGCAAACTAAGACAGCGCATTTAACCCGCCCGCTCTTCATTCTCCACATGGGAATTCGTACTATAAAATTTTACAAATTATATAATACTTCACTTATTTACAGCAAAGTTGTGCAAACATTTCTGATAAGTGATATCCAACAAGCACAAGTTCATTGACTAGGGTCCTGGCTCCACTACTCACGAAATGCCCAAAATGAGAATGAATGTTTAGCTAGAAGATGGGAAGATGCACAGCCATTGTTTTTTTTCCTTTTGTGCATGTCCAGAGTAGTGGATCGAGGCCCTAAGTTTAGCACAAATTCATAAATCAGTTCAACCTACGATTGCCAAGAAACGAAGAGAATACTGCCTGGCAAAAAAAGACTGAAAGCATGAGGACGGAGATAGGAAGGTAATAGGTACACTCAATGCAGCACCCCATCACGTACGCAAGCAAGAGTAGTCGACTTCATTCAAATCCAGGAGCTCCGGATAGAAACCCCAGAATCAAGTCTCAATCAATACCAAGAGCACACTGCCCGAGACCTTTTTCTCCTTTTTTTTTTCTTGGACCATTTCTCGATTTATGCATGTCGTCCTTCTTTTTTCTTTGCTGGGGGGGGGGGGGGGGAGGGGGGACACCAACCGCTCCATCTATTGGTGGGGAGCTTCACCTGCTGGAAACCGGCTCCAGCGTTGCATGGACGTTAAATAAGACAAGAACAGAGGTATTAAAGGGAATGCAGGGTATCCTCGTCAGCTCCCCATTGAAGCTGCCATATTTTTATCGTTCGACACAGGGCCCCTGTTCATCCAAATAACTCAGACTCAGAAACGTTTCACTTCCCCCCAAACCAAAGTACACATGTCATCCTTGCGCAGGGGCCATGTTAATCTTCTTTCTCTGTATCGTTCCCATTTTAACGGATGTCCCGAAGGGCTTTCTTTCATTTTTTTCTAATATCCAGTCTTTTCTCATTTGAAACATAGCATAAATTAATAATAGACTTGATCAGAATGTTATAACAGGTACGGCTCCGCTTTTACACGCCTCGTCACAGCTGCACTGTGAAGATACGCTGCCATTACGGCTGATATCACCAGATGGACTCCGTGCATGATCACGGGGGGCTCCGGGCCAAGTACAGGTAGCTGGTAACAAGCCCTGAGATGGATCTGGGATGTAGTGCCTGTGTCTAGCGAGGCGCGTACAGCGGACATGCGGTCCTGCCTGTGGGGAGGTCTCGCCATACGAACACACTTATTCAAAGTTCGACAGCCAGGCTACGGACTCGTGACCTTCCACGAACACGGCAGGTCACTCAGCCAGGCTACGGACTTGTGACCTTCCATGAACATGGCAGGTCACTCAGCCAGGCTACGGACTCGTGACCTTCCACAAACATCCACGAACACGGCACGTCACTCAGCCAGGCTACGGACTTGTGACCTTCCACGAACACGGCAGGTCACTCAGCCAGGCTACGGACTCGTGACCGGCAGGTCACTCAGCCAAGCTACTGACTCGTGACCTTCCACAAACACCGCAGGTCACGGCACGTCAGTCAGACGTCAGATGAAGTTAGCTTTTTGGAGTGACAGTGAAGCACCTTGTGGAATTGTTCACCACATCCCAGCATGGACTTTCCACTGCCACTTGGCCCGTCCACCACCACCCATGGGGTACTACCCCATTGTTGGTTAACGGGTGCTATCCACAATCGCTCCACTACTCTCCGTTTTGCATAATATCTCGAGAGGGCTGTGCCGCTCCACTACACTCTCGCTGGAATGATTATACGTTCCACCCACAAGGATCCAAACTTGTGACCTCGTACCGACAAGTAGGAGGACGTAAACCACCAGCACACGGCCCCAGCCAACTTGAGAATCAAGATTGAGCATCTCCAAAGACATCGGAGGCTCAGGCAACCCAACACCAAAACGGCTGGCTGGGCCAGCCAAAACGAAAACAAAAATGTCGTGCTGGTGTTTCGTCAAACCTTGGCGCACAGGGGGAATCCTCCGCTTCATGGCGGAAATAGACACGGATGTACTCGTCCTTTTGACCAAACGATAGACCACCACCAGTCCGTTTCCCGCGTACCTCACGTGCGACGTGCCGGTTAGACCACAAAACCGAAGTTAGGGCCTACTCTCAGAGAAAGGCTGGCGACGCCAGCAAGATCGTGAGCGCGTCAGTTTGCTTTTTCTAGGGCCAGGCATCTTCGATGGGGTCGTTTTTCGAGAGCTTCCCAGCGAGAGTGTAGTGGAGGGGCACACCACTCTCGAGATATTGCAAAATCGAGAGCAGTGGAGCGATTGTGGATAGCACCCGTTCACCAACGGTGTCCTGGCTGTAGTGGTTAAGAGACTTGCCTCTTAGAGCCGCGGTCACCGGTTCGAATCCGTGCTTGCACGGACGAGGGCTGAAAGGTCCGGACGTATGGATCTATAACCATCGTGGAGCGAGGCCCTTAAACATTCGCGCGGTTCAGTTGAATGTGAAGTATGCAAAGGTTTCCGAACTGAAATAAAGTCTTCACTCCACTGCACAACCCTATAAATGAATCTGGACCTGAAAAATGGTTTGGATACATTCCAAACGTTGTTTTGTGTTCATCAGAAGGAGGGGGGGAGGGGGGGAGGAAGAAGAACGGAAGTGGTTAGAGAGTGTTGCCGATCAAGAGTATGTGGAGCAAGGCCTCAATTTCACCTCCAATGGGGAGTCTGGCAGCTCTCGATTCACTCTCACTTTTCGAGTAGTGGAGCGAGGGCCTAATTCAGGCAGAACTCTGCCTTGGCATTTGTCATAGGAATTGGCAAAAACTATTAGCAAAGCCAAAGTGCGAGGATTTGAGTCCCTCAGCAGTGTTGGAAAAGGCCTTCCACGCCCTAAGTGAAGGTGGGCCTGCAAATATGGGCCTGGGCCTGAGTACAGGCCAATGTGACTGCAGAAAGGGGAAATGCAGAAGGCCCCAAGAGGTTGTTGAAAGGCTTGCACCTGTTGGAAATCATTTGCAGGCTTGAAATCCCGTCGGGTCCTAACTAGGGGTTTGCCGAGTCCATGCCTCACGCCAGCCAGTCACAGCACGTGGATGCTGTGTGCCCATGACAAAATCACCAGACCTGAAGCTGGGCAGCCACATTGGGCAGTTGAGCCCTCCGACCGAACGGGGCCCTGGGCGCGTTTGGTAAAGGCTACGCACCGGTACTCTTGAGCCAACTCACTCAGGCTTTGGAGGCAGGGCGTGCCTGTGTGACTAGGCCCTGCATATTTCCAGCAAGAGCCTAGAGACCGACATGTCGCACAACGGCTGTGGACCAATGAAAACGCAGATGCAGTGTCGCGCACTGGCCATGAGCCAATCAGAATGCAGCGAACACTTGGAGCTGCATCGCAGACTGGGCGTGCCTACCTGCATCGGGCCCAGACCAGTATCTGAACTGGTCCTGTGCGCAGACGCTACTGGGCCCCACGGCCAGCCAGCACTTCCCGAAAAGGGAAGTGCCTGTCGCCCAGCCAGGGATTCTGGCCTTAGGCGATCTGGCGGCCACGCTGCTGGTAGGCTGCCTGCGCGCTGGCTGGAAGAGGTGCGCACGGGCACATTGTGGTGTTGGGCGCTGCTGGTGCAGCGGGCGCTGAGCAGTCATAGCCGGGCTTGCTCAGCAGAGACTGGTGACGGTGATGGTGGTCTTCGGCCATCGGGGATGCACACTGTGGGAAGACAAGGGTGAGGCAGAGGGGGGAAGAGAGACAACTGTGAGGCAGAGCGGAGAAGAGACAAGTACCTGGTGTATGCTGGCAGTCTGCATTGGCGACGTCGTCACGTACATCGGTCTTCTGCTTGAAGTGACTCCAGTTGCATACATGTAGCGTAGGCTACATTCTTCCCCCGAATACAACATACGGTCATTATAGCTGTGTATTTGGGGTATATTTCAGTCTAAATACAGCTATAATAACCGTACATTGTATTCGGGGGAAGGAAGTCTAGGTGCTGAATAGGAAAGGCTGGGCGCTGAGCGCCAATCGAGAACGACAAAATTGGATGCTATGTTGGTGGGGGCGAGAGAGTGCCGACGTTGACATTTGAGTTCACTGTATTATTCTTATTTGGCTTGTATCTGGACGTCCATTGTGCTTTCCTGCCTGGTACATGACTATCTGGTCTACAGCGTGATATTGGAATTTGATTTTCTGTCTATCGCTCTCGCTCATATTCCTTGCAAAATAAATTTGATTTTGAAATTTGAATTCATGAAGGTAAGGGCATACTCAAACAAGCACTTTTGGAAATGCATATGACTGCGATTATGGCCACACCTGGATGCATCTGACCGCAACTGCATCCAAAGCTAAGTCACAAAAAAAAAAAAAAAAAAAAAGGTCCTAGTTTGAGTATGCCCGGCCCCTGAGGCACACACTTATACACCACTTTTTTTTCTGTTTCATACTTTGCACAATGCTTTACGAGGCTCAGCTCTGGAAGAAAGCATCCACAGTCACATAGATGATTTGGCTAACGATGCATGGGATTGGTTCCACACGTGCTAGAATTGCTAGCTATTATGCCTTTTCGGCCGCTGATGAAACAAACATACGGCTGTGCTGTGTTGCTTTTGCTCCATACACCACTTTTTTTTCTGTTTCATACTTTGCACAATGCTTTACGAGGCTCAGCTCTGGAAGAAAGCATCCACAGTCACTAGAGGATTTGGCTAACGATGCATGGGATCGGTTCCACACGTGCTAGAATTGCTAGCTATTATGCCTTTTCGGCCACTGATGAAACAAACATACGGCCGTGCTGTGTTGCTTTTGCTCCTTCATAGTGCAGAGCAAAGTCTCCCATCTCTCTTCCAAACTCAGCAGTGAATAATGCTCAGTGTACACTAGTTGAGTAGCTGAACGATTATACATATTTAGTATGTTTATCTTTGAGAGATGACTCTCTCTCTCTCTCTCTCTCTCTCTCTCTCTCTCTTGCAAAAACACAACTACCATCCACATGAAACAAACGCAGAAAATCACCCAACAAGCAGTGTCGATCCAACCATTTTTCTGCTAAAGATCTCTTGTAAAGGATTCTGGAGCATCCCACAGATCTCTACCATTCCTTTCCATTATTAGATCTCCGGTGAAGGATCCTGGAGTTGTACCTCCATCAGGGCTGTACACACCAACGTTATCCTGGGGCAGTCGGAGAGCTGGAAAGTGTCTCATGACCTGATCCGCTGTGAGCACATGGTGTGCTATGCTGAAGTTCCTTGCAGATGTTACAAGCGCCTGTCAAAATTTCATGCCATTGCCAGAGTTTCACAAAACAAGCGACCGAAACTCAGATTCATCCCCTCATACACCCCCCCCGTACACCCACCATTGGGCCCTCGCACAACCGCCACCATAATTGCCCCCATGACACATCATTCCATTATGATTGCAAGTGTCATCCTCAAATAGCATCAAGTCTCCGAAATCATCACCAGAGCACACCATGTGCTCACAGCGGTTGTGCGGTCAATGCCAATCAATGCTCAACCTGCTCAGTTCTCCACACGACTCTTGCGATATTGGTTAGGGATATTGCTGGTTAGTGATGTGTTTTTTAAACTTTTTTTCCTTCTCAGCAACCGACGATTCCCCTCCGAATCCTTTATTGGAGCTTGTCTCCATGAAGGATAAAAAGGTGAAAAAGGTGAAAAACAAGGTTTCTACCTTTCTATCATTCTATCTTTCCAGGAATGGGCCTGGCTACACTGCTCTACACTGTACAATTTGTAGAGTTGGGTCATCGCTCCACTGAATATCCATTTCTACTCGAGAAATTCCTTTGTATAGCTGTCCGAAAACACGAATGAGGACGACTCTGCACAATCGTAGAGTCCCCAGCCCGCAACCGCCTTCCTTGTTAAGTCCGACTCTGCACGGTTGTAGCCCAGCCTGCAACCGGCTTCCTCGTGAAGTCTCCTCGTACAGCGGATAAACGGAGCGGAGCCGATGAAACAGTTTTCAGCTGTCCTTTTGTTCTATATATATTTGCAGAGTCGCGACGACTTTATAGAGGAAGCGGAGCCGATGACACAGTTTTCAACGTTTTCAATAATGGCCTGACAGCTATACACACTCTCCACAAAAAAGAAAAGAAAAGTACATTGTGAAAAAAAAAAAGCGTAGCTGAAAAAAAAATAATAAAAAAGAAAAGAAAAGAACATTGTGGAAAGAAAAAAAAAAAGCGTAGCTGAAAAAAAAATAATAATAATGAATTGTACATTGTATTTATTTTTATTTTTATTTAAACGACACTAAGTTCTTCTCTCAAATTCTTTTTGCCTTTCACTACCTTCCTACGTCTACTCCTAAGACTATACATATATAGAGAGAGAGGGGACCCCTGCAAACTTGCCCCACCGCCCCAACAGCGGTAGTCGGAGATGGGGTGCGGCCACCATTGGGGGGCCGGTTAATGCAAAAAAAGACCCGAGCAATTTTCAGTCCCTGTCCTGTACCTCATAAACAATCTTCGATAAAAAGAATTTACTAAAAATAAATGAACCTTCAATCATTGAAAAAGCAAAGAAGAAAACGACAAGGAAGAAAAAGACAAAGAACAAGAAAAGAGTGATGGTGGATGAACGAAGAGCTGCTTCTATACTCACACATCCGTGCACTCGTTAATCAAATAATAATATTAATAATATCATATTAATATGCCCATTTTCTTTGATTGGGTGTGGTTCCTTCTTCTGAACACAAATTAGTCAACAAAAACTAAAAGAAACATTTATTGAATACTCAAAACTCCAAAAACAGAAATGTCTGTGCACATTACTTTCCAGTGTTTCCACTGTATAATCAATAATTGAATATAATCCCAATTACTCATTTTGCCCTTTTATTTTTATTTCTGATCCAGTTCGCGGATTCCCTCCGACTTCTAATTAATTCGGAAGCATTCACAAGGAAAGCTCATTAAGAAAATATTAAAATATCCAGCGGCCTAGCTCAGTTGGTTAGGCACGCAAGTGGCATTCAGGAGGTTGTGGGTTCAAGCCCCATGACCGCCTGCGGCGCACTTAGTCCCAACGAACTGAGATAGTCCTCTGGGTACTCTTGATCGGTATTAGTGGAATCTACGACCAACATGGGTGTGAATGCGAGCGCGAGTGGGTTGTGTGTGGTGTGTGGGAGAGTGTTGGCCAGCTACTGCTGATACTCGATGAGGGGTGGGGGACGATGGGATAGGGAGGTGCAGCTACTGGCAGGTCTCGGTCTTTGTGTTAGCCAGACCCCCACTGGCGGCCCCAACCCTATACCCTAAACATTAGGGGCAAGGGGCAACATGAAACCTCCCCTTCACAGTGAGAGGAAACTATGCTTGCAGGGGTCCCCTCTAGATAGCCTTAGCAGTAGGTAGTGAAAGGCAAAAACAGAAGTTGAGAGAAGAATAATAGAATATAGAAAGAAAAATAATAATAATAATAATATAAGATTTGTTCTGTTTAAACTTTAAAATAATAAGATTTCTTCTGTTTAAAATAATAAGATTCCTTCTGTACATTACTTTCGCCGGTAGACGTTTGACTAGGCGGTAACGACGCCGCGTAAAGAACTTATTCTCTGTTTGCAGTCAAACTCCTTTTTCAGGAAAATCAATCTGCAACAGGGAGCTGATGCGCCCACATAAACCAGCACTAGCGAGTCTAGAAGTACGGTCACACTTCACACTATAGGATGTTGCTACAGATATGGGACCGAAAAGACGGCCAGATTCATAAGAATCACTCGGCAAAATCCAAGTGCGAGCAAGCCCTGACATCGACCAGTGCAGCGGAGGTGGCCAGGCAGACTGCAAGGCACAACAATCGTGATCCCCTGCCGGAAGTTTCGCCGGTAGCCTCCTCACCGGACAGTGTAGGGATGTCGAGCCCGGAGCATGCCTGAAATGGGTGAGCTGGGTAGGGGGACACTTGCAGCAATGCTACCCTTGGTATTACTTGGGGGGAATGATGACTGAGCTGTCATCATAGCTGGCTGCCTCTCTCCCAATTCATTGTCTTTTAGATGTCTTTGGCCGAGGTCCCACTAGCAAAGAGGATCGGATCGAATGCCTGAATCTGGACGTATTTTATGCAGAGATGCAGAAAAGCAGTTCAATCTCGATTTCCTGCACATCTCCACGACCTGGTCCAGATTCAGGCATTCGATCCGATCCTCTTTGCTAGTGGGACCACGCCCTTTATCTTCTTACACCCGGGCCTGGAGGCGCCTTTCTGCTCGCCAAGATTTTTGAAACCGCCAGCAGCGCACTTTCTTTCTGTTTTGCCTGGCGCCACCAACCGTTGTGGTCCCCATAGGCCAAGCCTCCGAAATTTGACGAGTTGAATTTTCAGCAAGGCGGGGGCCGTGTACTGGCGGTTTAAGACAATGAAACCCAATTCCCTCCCATTGTGAGGATCGCGAGGATGGGTGATCTACATGGAGAGTCGTCTCCTGGTGAAGATTGAGAAGAACCATGCGTAGAGGCCCATGAGAACAGGAGCCCACGTGCACGGCGGGTGACTACCCTCGTATCGGATAATGTCGCATCTCCCTTGGGCAGTTCACTACCGTCTTCACCCCAATAGAGCGCCCGGTCGTTATAGCCATATTTGGTGCAATTTTTGGTCCACGTACAGCTACAAAGAGCAGGCGTTCTATTYGGGTGAAGACSGAAGCCACTTCTGCCTCACATAGAGAAGGCATCTGTAGCCGCTGGCCAGTTTAAACCACCAGTACTTATTTACCCCTTGAACCAGCTGGGGGGCTTCTTTTGGCTGGCTCCACCAGCCATTTTGCTCTGGGAAGTGAACCCCCAAAACTAACGGCTTGTAGACCGCGGCGTCGGAGAATAAAAATGGCTGGGAGACGTACTGGTGGTTTAATATTTTTCTCT